TTTAGAGATTGTACTCAAAGGAGCTTATTATATGTTCATTGCTTTTGTTCTTTTTATTCTCACTAAACTTGCATTGGTCTCTCTAATTTTTAAAGTAAGTTGCATGTCCTCTTTGTTCTTTTAATCTCCAATTTTTGTTGTTGTTTTTACTGCATAATTTATATTTTGTTTAATGACTATCATTGACATTTCATAGTGGATATATTTGTTATGAATCTATGCTTCTTAAAACACCTTATTTTCTTTGTTATATAGACTTTATGTTTGTTAATATGATTGAAATTATGTTTGTGTTTAAAATCAAGAATACAAAAATAGAAAAGACAGTTTGGGATCATTAAACAAATGAGAGTTTTATCATAACATACTTTTAGCAAGTGTACTAGTTTGACCATGAAGGGTGACTTGAAATTTCAATCAAATTTAAGGAGTTAACCAAAGTCAAAGTTTAAGAATAGGTATGATAACCTTAAAAGAGATTAGTGAGTATGGTATAAATTATTCGGTAAAGAAACAAGCTTGGGATGGGACAATATGAAGAATATGGTTGATGCACTGGATGATTGATGAGAGAGGAAGATATTTGTATATTCTAAATAAGTATGCATTTTTAATATGGTTTAAGTTTGTGTTTAGTGTTGTTATCATAATGGTTTTGAGTTTAAACATGTAGGAAAGCCCTTAATATGCAAAATTTAGGTATAAGAGGCTTGCAATTTGCTCACCATTTGACCACACTTTTCAAGGATGTTGTGGCTTATGAAGAGTATGAATGGACTCCCTTAGCTAGCTAGGATATTGCCTACTAGTCTTGACACTGATGTTAATGATCTATCATCCAAGTTTAGAAGACATTGGCCTTAATTTAGAGGAAGGTTTATGTGATAGTGAAGATGGCAGTGTTGGAGCAATAAATGATATTGAAGGCCTTAATTTCAATGTTTCACAAGGAACTAATATCCAAGGATTAGGAACTCAAAAGAATGGGGAGAAGAGAAAAAGAAATAATAATGTTATTGTGAAGGATAAGAAAAAGACAACTGCCTTATCAATAATAGCTGACGAGATTAGTGTAATAGTTGACTCATGTAAGTCAGGTATTGATGCTACAACTAGTGCATCCATTAGTGATGTAGTGGCAGAACTTAAAAAAAAAAACCTAAAATAAATGGTGGATGCCTTGATGGATTGACTTACTATCTTGTAATTGTTTTATATTTATTGAACTATGAATTATTATTTTCTGTCTCAAGAATGACTATCATCTTGTGTTTTTTTAATGCTTATTGAGCATTGAATTATTTTATGTTGATATATGACTATAATCCTATGTGAAAATTATGTTATGTATCATTTTGCACTTGGTAAAAATTTTGTAATATATTTGTACGGGTGAAAATAGATAACATGAATCATTGGTACGAAGGTTTTAAAACTAATATTGATGAAGATGACGACCTTATGGAAAAAGCATCTTATGTGAATGCACTTGTGAGTGAGTATGCAATAAAATATTTATGTAAAGAGCCATGTAGAACTAGTGAACATACATGTTATTCATGTATGCATGAAATCTTACAAGTTCATCTTGTTCATTATTATGAGATATTTCGTATGGAAAAACATATTTTCCATAAATTGTGCACATATTTAGCTAATCATGGATTAATGCTCACTAATTGTATGAGGGTTGAAGAGATGGTGACAATGTTCTTAAAGAAGTTTTAACACTCTAGAGAAACTGTCAGTCAACTTTTCATAAGGTGTTAGTTACTTGCCTTAAATAGTCAATTGAGTATATTAGGCCACAAGATTTTTTGTTTCATGATAGCCATGAAAAAATTAAAAATGATCGATGATATATTGGCCTTTTTTTTTTTAAATGCCACAGGAGCAATTGATGGTATACGTGTTCCTTATGTGGGTAACCCCTAGTGAACAACCAAGATTTATTGGAAGAAAAGGTGTTCCAACACAAAACATAATGGTTGTGTGAGATTGGAATGTGTTTCACCTTTGTATTAGCTATATGGGAAGGTACTACTCATGATGCTCGCATCTTTGAGCATGCTCTCACAACTGCTAGCATGAATTTTCCACATCCTCTTTCAGTTATGGTTTTTTCATTATGATTGTAGTTAAATTTTGATTTCATTTAAAGATCATGTTTACTTATTATTTTCTTGTTTCACTAGCAAAATATCATTAGGTAGATACTGGCTACCCAACACTAGTAGGGTACCTTGATCCGGAATGTTAAAACTAATTTTCAATTTAGTAGTTATGAAAATAAAGATATTGTCCTTGGTCCAAATGATCAATCTTGTCATAATGAAATTAGCTTAAACCAATCCCAAATTTTAAATATGATTTCTTCAATTAAGATGGATTGTGTTTGAGACATCATAAAAGATAATACCATACGATTCAAGAAAAAAAATCAGCATTCTAATTTAATGTTAAAAGTTGTGTTACATTATAACTTATCTCTTTTATTTATACATTTAATTATTATTATTTTTTATTATTATCAAACATACGTGTATTAAATTATATTTATTTTATTGTATTAGTATTGCAAACATATTTATTTTTATTCAAACTTGTATTACAAACATATTAAACTTTGTTTTATTATTCTAAACAAATGGTGTCTATATAAAAATAATATACAAATATAAATACCCAATTTAGAAATTGCAAATTCAAAATTGATTTTCATAATAAGTTTTTAAACAATTTTAGTATGAGAATTACATCCCTATTTTATGCCATACAAATAAAAATTAATATTTTAGTATGAGAATCACGTTTATTTAAATCAATTTTATACATTCACGTCAATTTAAAACCAATTACGCCAACGAATATCCAAATACACCCAAACACAGCCAGCGTGCACCTGCTGCTTAATTCCGTATATAGTTAAATACATGCTTTACATTGGTGAATAGTTCGTTGCTTGTTTTCTTAAGCCTGAAGGAAGAAATTGTGACTTGCGAAGAAAAGTTGAGTTCGGAATTGGAAGCACTGCAGGTGCAATTAGAACTGTGGTATTCGGATTTTTGGACCGTCGTCAAATTCAAATAAAACATCTGGCAGACTTTGACTTTATGTTATGTTATGGATTTGGCCACGGGAATCACGTACGGAGAAGTTTCTTTGAATCACACAGCAATAAAGTAATTAACATAACAACATATAATCATATATGCCATTCATTTGGATCCGATCCATCACGGCTCTAGTCTGAAACTCGAGACTTCTACCTGTTCCATCAGCTGAATTGTCTAAAGTGAACACAGATCAATTTCAATAAATTTCTTTACACTAATTTCTTTTAATTTATTTATATGAGAAAAATTAAAGAATAAAATGAATTATATATTTTATAAATTAAGATTAATTTATATATCTCAGTTTTATATATATATAAAATTAGATGAGAAATTAAAAAAACAAGTTGAAGTTAATGAATTAATTTTAATTTATTTTAATAACTTTTTTCCTTCTAAAAATATTTACTAAAAGGTTTATTGTTTACTAAACATAAATGTATAAAGTAAAAAAGCACGGATGTATTTTTACTTTGTTTTGAACATTTGTTTTGTCTTTTGTTCCAATTGCAACTAGGTTACGAAGCAATACCAATAAACTTCAAAGTTGCTACCTCAATTCAATTTTCACTTTCACACTATGTTAAAAATTACAATTTAATGCTAAAATTTTATTGAGATACAAATAAGTCTCATATCAATAAAATAAAATAAAAATAATAACTTATAAAAATACACATATATTCTAATGTCAGAGAAGTTTTTTTTAGCTAATAATCAAAAGTAAAATCATGAAAGCTTAGATTCAAAGCGGACAATATCTCATCATTGTGGAGTTGAAATAACCCTCATAAAATCCCTTAAAATAACCCCAACAAATTTTGATGATGAACCAAAGTTTCACAAAGTCAGTGCTAGAAACAAGTAATAGCTTATCAAAGTACGTAAAGATGTAACATAATTAATAAATAATATTGTCTTCTAAACATGCAGTTAATAATTTGTACGAAAAAATATTTATTAGAAGAGATTATTTCTTTAAATAAATTTTAGTATCTTGATAGATAGATTAGTTTTTAATTTTTTACTAGGATCATGTCAAACTAATGGACTCCCAAATAGCTGTAACGGGTGAACCTCGTCCGCGAATAAATAATAATGCATCCATATATGTTGTTTCTCATTATGTCTATGATTGAGAGGGATCATAATCATTGGCTATTGCTCCAGCTTATTCCATTGTTTGAATTCTTTTTCCCAAAAAAGGAAACAAAAACTGTTAAAAAACTAATGCAAATTCGGGAACAAACAATTATATCAAATGTAATGATTAAGTTTTGAAATATGCTGATTAACCAAACTTTGACTTGAATGCCAATATCCTCATGAGTCCGACATGGACTACGTTGAGATAGACAGTTGACTAGAGCTGAACTTTGGTGGATATGTAGGATAAGTTTTTTAGTGGAACAAGGTTTGTGATCTTTTAAACTCAATAGGCCATGAATAAAATAGGTGAGTACTTAAAAAAAAATAAAAAATTTGACACTCAAGTCGATAAAAATTTCATTAGAATGACAATATTTAATGAATATAACTAGTATAATGACACTGTTTGTATTTATAGGGGGTATTAGATATGTTAAATTTCTTGTCATAGGATCTAAGGTCTTCTAGTAGCAATGTTGCCATGTTTTGGTGCAGTGATATGGTAATTGGTAACTTTACTATGAATTGAGATTTTTTTTTTATTTGTAGAAAAAATTAGAATGACTAACCAAATTGGAATTCAAGATTTTGTGGTTATTATTTTAGTAGTTTAACTTTATATTATGGATTGCAATATGATTTATTGTTCTCAAGAGAATGACGTGTTGGAGTGTTGACTGAAGTGAGTGATTATGCAAATTAGGCCTCAAGTCCAGTCTAACAATTATAATGTAATTCTCTCCATATTCTGTTCTGTGCGCGGCTTGAAAAGGCAGGAATGAAGATTAAAGATACCAAAAGTGAATAAAAGGAAAAGGAAAAGGAAAAGGAGAGTGTATAAAGCAAGAGATATTATTCTGTCTTGAGTGGTTTTGGTTGAGAAATTAAACATCTAGTTGTTCATGTTGATGCTACATGATGAGTTTCCATGTTCCCCAGAAGCAAAAAGCAATGTCATTGCTACTAGCAGTACTCATCCACTCACTATTCAGGCTCACAAGAGCTGAATCGAAGAAGCCATGCAGAAGTTCTTGCGGCGACATTCCCATAGAATACCCTTTCGGCATAGACGATGGTTGCGGAAGCCCCTACTACCGTTACATTCTGGTGTGTTCCGAGTCGGGGAAGCTCGAAGTGAGAACCCCTTCAGGAAAATACCCCGTTCACAACGTTAGCTACGACGATCCACACATCATAGTCACTGATCCATTCATGTGGAGCTGCGAGGACGGTGAAAACTATCGCCCCACGAGGCCATTCAGTTTGGACACCAGCACTCGCTTCAAGCTTTCACCTCACAACGAGTACCTATTCTTCAACTGCAGCCAGGATGATGTCATCGTGAAGCCCAAGCCAATCCTCTGCGAGCGCTTCCCCGAGCACTGTGACTCTTCGTGCGACAGTGGAAGCTACCTCTGCAGGCACATGCCCGGCTGCTCCTTTTCCTTCACTCCAACCTCTTGCTGCTCTTACTATCCCACAGCTTCTGAATCGCTGAGGCTCATGCTCAAGTATTGCACTAGCTATACCAGTGTTTATTGGAGAAACGATGGTGCTCCTCAGCCTTATTATCAGCTTCCTCAATATGGGATCAGAATTGATTTCGATATTCCCGTAACTACCCGCTGCCTTCAGTGCCAGGATCCATCCAAAGGAGCTGGAACTTGTGGATTTGACACTCAGACTCAGAGTTTTATGTGTTTGTGTAAGGACGGAAATTTCACTACCCATTGTAAAGGTATGTCTAACAAATACTCACTTTTTTCCTTTCTATTTTAATTTGTGTGTAATATTATTGTCAAACAATTTAGACTGTTAATTAATCATAAATGATTATTGATGTCATCTTTAAGATAATTATTGTCACATGTATGATAATATATTTGTATTTAGCAAGATAATAATTTACCCTTTTGGTGCATATACTATTTTACTAATCAAAGTTACAATTCAGAAGGTTTGCATTTTGAAATTTGTTGAGAAAGTAAAATTGATTGGATGTTGGTTGTCTGACAGATTATGATGCTGCACAACACAATAGAAAGGTGCATGTGATTGCAGGTGATAAAAATAAAATTAATGGAGTAAATTTTTCGATTATGAAGTTTTTGAAGTGGAAAATTAGGAGCATGATTGTTGTTTTGTGTGAATGCAGGGACAGTTACAGCTGTTTCGGCTGCAGGGGCATTTGGAATTGGAGCTGGTATTTGGTACTTGAAAAAAGTGAGAGCTAAAGCACCAGTAACATGTGGAGTTCAAAGCAATGAGAATAGACTTTTTTGAAAACGACCAAATAACGTGAACTAATAATTACAGAGTACATCTTTCTTTTGTTACTTTTTTTATATATTTTATTTTATAGCTATTATGCTTATTTATTTATACAACAGTTATGTTTGCCTTTTTTCTGCTTTCTAGTTGGCATCTTTATGTGATGTTGGGTTGTATTTTCTCTCAAATCTATTGAAAGAAAGCACTGTGCTGCACAATCATCTTCTTCACTACTTTTAACATTAACCTTTGAATATGTAAAGTGTTAAAATTAAATTTACAAACTAAAGCAGATTATTGGCTGAGACATTGATATCCTCACTCCTCTGATAAACGTCTCTAAAACGGGCTATCCAGAATTAACCAAAAAAGCAAATAATTAATACAAAATTAAGAACAAAAGAAAAGCAAAAGGCAAGACAAAGACACGAAGAAATTAACGGCAATTCTAAGCTATGAAATACTTCAATTTGCTTCACTAGTTGTATTCAATACTGATATTTTTTAATATTTCATCTATACGTACCGAAGTGTCCACTATGAAATTTCAATACAACAGCATGACATATGACATGTAAGCATGTACGTAATATATATTATAAAAATAAACAAACATTGTCAATTAATGAACCAAAAATGGAATTTTTTTTTTTTTTGCTTTGTTTTTACTAATATCCAATTGCAAAATTGCAATTACATATTTATTATATTTTATGTTTTTCTATACATATCTATCTTGATATGTATCTTACAGGTATTATATAGTCCCGTAGCTGTATCAGATACATACTCACATAGAGGATCATAAATTCTAAGCCAAACATACTAACAGGGTATCCCAAAAACACAATTTATGGGACCGGCATTGTGAGTTAATGCAGGCACCATGTAGGCTGGAGCAGCAGTAAAAGATTGAGTAGATGAATAATTTGGGGCACAGCTACCAAAGCCAGATGGTACAAAATAAGCACCATTTAGGAATAAGTCCTTGGAAGACCTCCATTTCCAACTCTTCCAGTTTTCCTTCACTTCCCTCTTGGTAATCTGTCATCCAACAACAACATTCAATTACTCATGTTGAAGAATATATGTATCTTCAAAAAGAAAGGATGAGGCCACAATGGTAATGAATTTCATGATATATTTCTACCTGTTTTGCGTTTAGATCATTTGGTGCTACATAAAAATTCCCTTCACTCAAAATGGTTGGGTTGGCACTGCCACCTATAGCATACATTTTCCACTGATCATATTTGTTGTTGACCACATGGGCATAACCAAATCTTACCCTGCATATATGTTCTTATACAAGTGAATACAGTATTTATTTTCATCGAGTCTATGCAAATCCATAATCACTCTTACCTTGGCATCCTTTCAGTTAGGCCACTAGCAAACTGGTTGAATGCTATTGTTACTTTCATTATTTTATCTGCTGTGTATTCGTCATTATGTCCTAGCAACATAACCTGCACGCATATTAGCTCAATCACACGGTGTAACAACGAAAAGTTTGAATAATTTGCGTGAGATACAATATTCAAATTTCATTATTATTATTGTAAAATAAAATGTGTAGTTATAATTGTTGATTGAAAAAAAAATAATGTACGAGATCGTATTAAATTATATGCATTGGTGTAACAAAACATGAAAATATGTATACTATTGATTTTTGAGTAAATATTGGATGATAAAAAAAAATTGACGAAAATTATACACAAATTAATACCGTCAAAAACACGAGATATATTAAGTAACCCATTAATTTTTCTTTAATCATTAAATGTCCACATCAATTTGAAACGGATTGGTGCAAAACTTTTCGCACTATTTCTGTACTTTACCCTTAATAAAAAATGCAGTCATAGTTATACAGCGAAGTCAATCCAATTATAGTATTTACTCGGTTATCAGCAGCTATATATTGGCATGCATATATTTTTTTTATGTATATTGGAATGCATGTATATGACCAAAGAATCTGGTATATCAGAAAGAGAAATGATACGGCATAAGGCATCAAACAAAATAAGAAGTGATAGCTATATTGATCAACTTACTTTGTCATGCTGAGTAAAGTAATTGTTAGAGATGGTAATGGCAGTTGAGGAATGAATAACATCAATTAGGCCATCGGTGGCACGAGCCAAGAAACAATGATCAATCCAAATATTTGAGGAAGAGAATATGCTAATGGCATCTCCATCAGAGCCTTGACGATGGAAAACATGGTTAGGAGTACTCCTCACAGGGCCATCCTTGGCTGGTTTACAATCATGGATGCTAATGCCATGTATAATAACATGACTAACACCTTGCATTGTAATGCAAGGCCCATTTGATATTTCCACATTTGCTCCTCTCCCATCAATGGTCTTGTAGCTATTCACGATGAGATCATTCTCGAGCCTAATAACCATGTCTTTGTCGAAAATGATCCAAAGTGGGTCAGTTTGGATTGCACCATAACGAAGTGTGCCAGGTTTTGGGTTTAAAGGGTCATCAGAGGGATCTGTGACATGGTATATTGCACCATATTTGCCTCCTGTGGCATCTTTGCCAAAGCCTATAGCACAATCAGCCAAGGCTTGGCGATTTGAGGCCCAATTGGGTTTGGCCCGCCAGCAAGAGTCTATCACATTCAGGAATGGTTTTCTAGGACTCTTGGGAATATGCTTAGGTTGGGGAGTGATGTGGTGCTTCTCTGTTGAAAGGGCAATGACCAAGGTTGAAGCAAGGTGTAGCATGAAGCATGAGAGCAAGAGGGGTGGGGTTAACGTAGCCATGCTTGTTAAGACAATTGTGAAGGGAATGAGCTCATTTAATAGGTGTGGTGAAGAAGGTTATGCACACAATTTAGGAGCTTGCCTTAAAAATATTTTTTCGGGTTTAGATAACATAAATGTGGCTGCACGAGCTTGGCTTGGTTGACCTGCTACTTATTATCATTAATTTTAGTTAGAGTTCTAAAGGGTACGTATACATCCATATTACATTTCTTGTATGAACAACATTAAGAATATAATGGTTCAAGGACATGGGAACTCCAATTAATAGTTCACAACTTAATGCTCCTCGGAAATCTAGTATTTGGACGGCTTCGGAGCAGAACAAGCACGTTTTGCAAAATACTCATGCCGAGGGATTCAATTTAATAACACTAGTTTAAGTCAAAAACTAGGTGTCGTCACTAAATTTAGTTCTAAATATTTCGTTATTCAATTATTATTATGCTACAAGTATGACAAATTACTTATTATCATAACACTACGCGTAAATTAGCTTAAAAAACCAGTGTTTTAACTTGAATGTGGGTTTTCGAAATCCAGTTAAAATAACTTTCCAAATTTTTGAAATGGAACTCATAATATGAAAGTTCTCTGAAACTGAAGTTCTTAAAATATTGATATACGGTGCTAAACCCCAAAAATACTGACTATTGTAGATTTAAGTGGTAGTTGATTCTCCTAAGGATTTGATTTCTCATTATTTTTTTTTAATTTAAAACGAATTAAATAATCAAGTTACTTAAAACTTGTAATGAATTTTTAATATTGAGGACGTAGAATATATATGGGTCTAAGCCCATAGATTAGTCTATATAACGCAAGATGGGTGCGGATTAGGAGCAGTAAAAAGATATGCTCATTTAGTTGTGAACTATTTTTGCTTGGTCCATAAAACTTGCAGGCTATAAAAATAAGAACATTAAGATGATTAATAAGAAAATATATTAAAAATAATTGATCAAAAGAATATATATAGTAAATGCACGTGTTTGTTCATTTTTAGTCTATTTTATTTACCATTTATTATATATTTTATTTTCTCTTTTTTTACACCTATATATATCCATCCCAAATTTGAGATGGACGACTACCATTTTCCTAGTTAGAAACATAATGCAAAATGAATTAGTCACATAAAAAATTTCAATATAAAAATCGGCTCCATGTAATAGAAGTTTCAATATAATATTTATAAGTCACTAATTTTCTAAATTTTCAATTCAGAATAAAGATAACATTGAGTAAATGAAACTATAAAAATAAAGTTTATTTATTTATTTCATAAACAACGAATTGCAAATTATACTTATGTGATGACAATAAGATATTACATATGAATACAATAAAACATTGCAATATTAATATTGATTACACCAAGTCACCAACTAATGCAATAAAACAACACTAGCAGAACTCTTGATCAGTTGTGATGGCTGCTTTATTAATCACACTATTATTTTGGCATCAAATAAACGTCACACACATATGTGTTCATGTTCATCCATAATATATATATAACATATAATATATATATATATATATATATATATATATATATATATATATCACATGATATATATCACATGATATCCTACGCATAGCTGCACATCCCATAGATGCATGAACTTTGGGCATTGCACTTATTGCCACATTTCCCACAATGCTTCTCGTTAGTCTGAGGATTCACACACTTACCTTGGCAGCATATCTTTCCATAGCTGCATTTCTTTCCACATTTTCCGCAGTTGGAGATATCTGTGGACATGTTGACACATTTGTTCATGCAGCAATCAGACCCTGCGCTACCTTTAATGTGACATACCTTTGGATATTTGTCACATGTCAGCAGCACCCTCTCAGAAAGGAACCGGTTTTTCCATTTTGGTTCTTCACTTTCGGGAGATATTGCTGGCACAGAAATGGCCAAAGTCATCAGCATTGCCAAAAGGAAGAGGGTCTTCAAGGACTTCATTTTTGTTGGTGTGTTAAAAGAAAGAAAGTCAAATGAAGTTATATTGTATGTTTTGATAAACAAGATATACAAAGTATTTATAGACGAGTAAGTTCATGCATGGATTGGAGTTGGTATTATATTTTGCATTCATCTAAAGAATGTCCCTATCATATTGATTAGTTAATGGGGTGGTCTAAATTTGTTAGGCTTGTTTGGCAACAATTTCTTAAAAAAAAATTTTAAGAAAAAAAAACCTTCAAACTTCGTCCATATCAATCGGTTGAAATTGGAACAACTATTCTGGATTTTGCTAAAGGATTAAGATTAACGTTAGTTACTTAGTTTAACTCCTAATCTCCGTAGTCTTAATCAAAAACAGTATTCTTGTATAATTCTACGTACATAAACCAAAAAACTGTTATAGTACCAACTTCGGTTCTTGCTTATCAAAAAAAAAAAAAAAAAACAACGTTCGGTTCCGGTAGCCATACAATTTTGACAATTTGACGTTGTAAGAGAAGGAGCAAATTGGATTTAAGAGTTGGCCAATAGGCAATATAATAAAATAAATATAAATATGAAAATACAATTGAAGTCACATTACACACACAACCAAGTATGTATAGAAGTAGGGTTTTGAAGTGCCTCTGCTCTGGATTAGGGTTGAGTAATACACCCGATTCACAACGGGTCAACGGAAATTTTTAATACAATATTATTTTAAAATTTTCAACTTAAAATATTTGTCATTTTTTACCATTTTAAATAAAAACTTGTTATTATTAATAAATATTGACATGTATTGTTAAAATTTTGACTTACTTATTTTATTATATTTGATTTGAGCTTTTTTATATAATTTAAATGCTTTTTTTTACACCTTACATAATTTAAATGTTAAAATCCCATAAAATTGTCTTTTTTTTTGTTAGACTTTAGTATTATAAAGTTATGATATTATATTTTTTAATATTATTTTATATTATTTAATTATTATTATTATTATTATTATATTAGTAAAATCTATTACAATCAAATTTGTATTTTTCAATATTATCAAAAAGTAATTTCCGAAACTACATATTATACATGTTAAAACATATTTCTAAAAAATATTTTCGTATATATATTATTTTTGAAAAGTATTTTTTATTAAAAAGTACTTTTAAAATTATATATGAGAGATGTATACATAAAAGCAAATATTGAGTCGTAATTTTAGGAAAATGTCTAACCCTACAAAAAGGAATTTTTGGCAATAGACAACGGGAAATTCAATTTATGATGCTCACAAATCCTGCGTTTGGGCTTTCATCAGTGATTTTCGAAACCATACTTTGAAATACAGAGCCCGACCCACGTACAAGTGCTTCTGGGCCAAATATCTTAGCTGCTAGTGTCTTTGAATAATCAAATACAACGCAAGTTTCCTTTAAATCAAGATTTGGCAGGATTTAACCGGATCAAAGTTAAACAGGAGAGTCAAAGACGCAAAGGAGATTATGAAGCAATAAACTTCTTCCTGAATTTCATTATGGATCGATCATAGTTGCCTTTGAAATACATTTAATCAATATTAATTGCAACATGCCACTGTTAAGCAGAAACCGTTTCATTCAAGAAAGGTTGTTAGTTAGTACATTAATTCATAGCATTTTTGCATCCCCTAATAACGTGGGAGAGGAATAATATCTGATTGAGTTACTTTTATTGAAGCCAGCCATATATTCTTCCTTTTAGATTGATAAGGAAAGCAAAGCACAGATTCGCAGCAACCTAACATTGCTTAGACAATCGCACCTAGCGACTTTAATTTTACACTTATATCTGTACTTCACCTCTAAAATGTAAATACCGTTTATTTTATAGTAAGGAAGCCTAGTATATCATTAGATCAATGGGAATTATTTATTGACATGTTTTGTTGTAGCAATATCTAAGTTCTGTCTGGGAGCGAGAGTGACGCATAGACATTGATATATAATTTAATTATATATATATGTCATGGCACTCTGTTGTCTTATTCTTCTTCTTGGTTTATTTGCTCCCTTCCATCCTATCTATGCCAAAATTTCCTCCACTAATGAACTGGCACAAGTTCAAAATGAAAGAACAATAATTGTCATGAAACTTGACCCCAAAATCAATGAAATGGAGGTCAAGATGCATGGCATTGGTACGCCTCGTCAAACACCAGAAACAGCTAATAAAACAACAGATGTGAATGTAATATCATACAAAGACAAAGGTCATATTCTCACCCGGGATCATCAGCGCCACTTCCAAAATGTACGGTCAGTTATTAACAACAAACACATATATCATATGTTAACTCTTGATTGTACGATATTACCATGTTTTGAGCATATCATTATATATATTCTAGGTTTACAGGATTCTAATCCTCATAGGATGGGGCACTTTGCTACCCATCGGGGTAATCATTGCAAGATACTTGAGAAATTTTCCTGTTCTGTATGATGTATGGTTCAAGTGTCACCTAGTGTGCCAGACTTTGGGATATATTCTTGGCACAATGGGGTGGTGCATGTGGCTGGGGCTTGGAAACTCATCAAAACATTTTGTATCTAAAACACAAAGTATTCTCAGCATCATTGCTTTCACATTCATAAACGTACAAGTGAGTAGGGTGAAATATATTCCTTCTTAATTTACTCCACCGTGTCCAAATATTTATGATATTAGTTAACATTTCTTTCAATGTGTGATCGGTCAGATGCTTGCCACCTTCATGCGACTAAATAAAGAAGCGGGGTATTGCAAGTGCTGGAACATATGTCACCATCTTCTTGGGTATGCCATAATTGGAATAGTTATAGCAAACATATCTGTAGGGTTCCACGATGAAACGTTGAGACGGGTTTATGAGGGAATACTTGGAGGTTTGACTGTGTTAGTTGTCCCGCTTGAAATTTATAGATGCAAGACTAAGATAATGCATCATGCTGTGATTATTCACCGTGAATTGTGGAACAGAGAAGGAAGTTATTGATGAAACAGTGTTGGTGTAATCGTGAAGACACGTGGCTCTAGGTTACTTATTCGAATGGGAAATGCAAATATGAGGATTCAAAATGAACTATATACTACATCCAGGCTAAGGTAGTATTTCAAGAATTTTCTAAAATCATTTTTATAAGTTCAAGCTCTCTTTTCAAGAAGGTAAAAGAGAAGTTAAGTCAAATAATTTTCGAGAAACAAAAATAGTGGGTTTCCTTAGTCTTTTCTGTATTCCTGTAGTGCACATATCACCGTGGCCAAATTCAATCGTCGGTGAGTTATATCGGATCGTAACTCTTAGGGTTTAGTCATTTGTCATAAATACTTGTATCCACAACATTTTACACCACCATCTTTCATGTAAACAACACTTTTTATGTGAGTTCAAGAAAACATAGATCCATAGGTCCAGTGATATAAAAAGTCTATACTTTTTATCTCGATCGATAAACTGGCACAAACAGTATGTCCTTTATTATGCTTACCGATCAATTTTATAAATTTACGATTGATTTCAAACTCATTTCTAAAAGCAGCCAACCACTGTATTTGCTACCCTATAGGCATGAGATAACGTGATTACCCAAACACGTACGTCTTGTCCCATGCAGTGCATTCATTAATAATGGAGTATGGTCTAGATCAATACATGTGAGAATCATGAATGAATGAATGCTAGTATTAATTATAAACGGATCCATAACCTTTGCATTTGGTCCACCCGTGCAGACGCCACTTTCAAGACTAGATAGACGGATAGAAGACAAGTGATAACACTGATACTCCCCTTCAATGCCATCTGCTTTTAAGCCCAATCATTTCCCTTTGTAACATTAAGAAGGAAAAAATATATATATATTAAAGGTATTGAACTTTAGAAGAACAAAAAAAATATACTGTCAAAGTATATATGTGGGAAATGAATGACCATAATAAATAGTAATCAACTTAATTACTATATCAAATATATCAATGTAAATATTTGCTATATTTTTCCTAGATTATATATATATATATATATAT